GCCCCAGGTTTTGGTCACTGACTGCCATGGCAGAGGCTCAGGTTTTGGTCACTGATTGCCATGGTAAAGCCTCATGTTTTGGTCACTAATTGCCATGGCAGAGCCCCAGGTTTTGGTCACTGACTGCCATGGCAGAGGCTCAGGTTTTGGTCACTGACTGCCATGGCAGAGCCTCAGGTTTTGGTCACTGACTGCCATGGCAGAGCCTCAGGTTTTGGTCATTGACTGCCATGGCAGAGCCTCAGGTTTTGGTCACTGATGGCCATGGCAGAGCCCTAGGTTTTGGTCACTGACTGCCATGGCAGAGCCTTGTGCTGCAGAGGAGCCCAGGCTGGACAGTTGCTCCTTTGTTCTGCTCTGGCCTTGAGCATGGGCAGGGATGACTCAGTGAGGTGATCTCTGTTTGCTCTCCGTGTGGGAAGAGCAGAGTCCATCGGGCTGGAGACTGAGATTATCCAGGTGAGAGGGTTCTGCTTCCCCTTTCTTGTTTGCCAGGACACAAAACACCCTGGACTGCCCTGCCTGAGCTCCTGTGAGCAGTCAGAGAGGAGCTCAGGGCCTGGCTGAGGCAGAGCCACGTGAGGGGAAAAAGCAGCTGCAAAGCCTTCCATGGCAATGTGGGGGTGAGAGAGGGAGAGGATGGGCAGAATGGTGGAATAATTTGGGTTGGGGTGACGTTAAAGCCTATCCAGTGCCACTCCCTGCCATGCCAGGGACACCTCCATTGTCCCAGGGTGCTCCAAGCCCTGTCCAGCCTGGGCAGATTCTCCTCATGGAGGCCAAGGGTTGGATCCACTCAGGTGAGGCCTCACCTGCAGGGCTGCTCCAGCCCTGGGCCCTGCACAGGAGGGACCTGGAGGTGTTGGAGAGGGTCCAGAGGAGGCACCAGGGTGATCAGAGGGATGACTCAGTGAGGTGATCAGAGGGATGGGGCAGCTCTGCTGGGAGCACAGGCTGGGAGAGCTGGGATTGTCCAGCCTGGAGAGGAGCAGCTTTGGGGTGGCCTCACTGTGGCCTCCCATGATTAACTGTAGGGGCCTACAGGGTGAGGAGACACTATTGACAAGGCCCTGGAGGGCAGGAGAAGGGGAAATGACTTCCAGCTGATAAAAAGTAGGTTTAGATGGGATATTGGGAAGGAATTCCTCCCTGTGAGGGTGGGGAGGGGCTGGGATGGAATTCCCAGAGCAGCTGTGGCTGCCCCTGGATCTCTGAAGTGTCCAAGGCCAGGCTGGAGCAATCTGGGTCAGTGGAAGGTTCCCTGCCCATGGAAGGGGGTTTGGGGCAGGATGATCATTAAAGTGTCTTCCAGTCCAGGCCATTCCATGATTCTGGGTCTGCCCACACCCCTCTGAACTCTCAGGACAAAGCCCTCGTGCCTGGCCAGCAGAGCCCTGGTGGACTCCAGCCAGCAGAGAATTGTGCTCAACCCCACGTAGGAGCAGGCAGAATTCCCCGTCCCTTGGGAAAAGGGAGCCAGCCCTCACGTAGGACTAGGATAAACAATACCAGAAGCAACAACTGCAAAAAAACAAAAAGGCTCCTTAATTCACCATGATCTGCTTTGTGACTCGTGCTGTGGAGAACATTAAACAGCTTGGACGTGTGCACACAATTACACAACAGGAGCCACGGCCAGAAATGGGCTGCAGGTGTGTTCTGAGGAGAATTCAACCTTCAAAAATCACTTTAATCCAGTTAAGGACTTACAAGAAGTTTGTGACTCTTGAGAAATCCATGACAAGGTCCCGTGCCTTCAGTTAACTCCCCGCAGCCTGCAGTGCTTGGAGCTGCACAGCCTCCGTCACCCTGGGGCAGGGTAATTAAGCAAAACGCAGCTAACGAAGGGGGAAGATGAAGTAACTGATTTTTGGCCTTTCATTTCAAAGAAAAGGGAAGGAAGGAAGGAAGTCACACACTTGTAACACCAAATATGTCTGTGATCTTATAGCAAAAAGTGCTGCCAAGATGTAAAATATTTGTGATGAGGTTTCATTAGTCAGGCTCAGATGACAGACTGTGACCTGATTAAATACGCAGCAAAAACAACTCAGCTGCTGCTTACTGAGGTAGTTTCAATCATCATTTCGGTGAGAAAAGATTATATTTACTTTATATTAAAGTCTGGTAGTACAAACATTGCATTTAAGCTGAGGAGCTGGTAATGAACAGCTGCAAGGGAGAGAACTTTTCCAAACATTCAGGTCAAAAGCAGCCATTGGATCATTTCCTTCAACAAAACACCAGAAAGCAAAACACTGAGGGCTGGTCATTGAGGAAGAGGAGGATTATTCACTTTGGGAATGTGTGAGACAACAGAGGCAAGAACAAGGGAAAGCTTTATGCAAAGAAAAGCTTTTAAAGAGGAACGGAGCTTATCCAAGATTGGATCCAAGGTCCTGGAAGGCCACAGAAAGTGTTCTGTTGACTCCAATGGGTTTTGGATCACTCTGGAAGTGGAGAGGAAGGGATGGGGCTCCAGGCAGAGGCAGGCTGTGGGGACACTGGGATGCAGCTGGGAATAGATGGAGGAAGCCGTGGGGCAGTGAAGGGCTGGAACACAGAGGCGAAGCCGTGTGCTTTTATTTGTATTCCTGGAGAAAAATAACCTGCAGGAGGGCTTGGGAGAGGGGAATGGAGGCAGGAGGAAGGCAGGTGACTGAGCAGTGATGCAATAGAGCCCTGGCTGCCTGTGCAATCCCACATCCCTTCCCTGCTCCCAGAAGAACAGGGTGTGGTGCTGGGGTGGATGGGGGCAGCAGGACCAGGAGCAGAACCAGGCACAGTCCTGGCCCTCAGCTGCTCAGCTCTGTGTCAGGGTGGCTGAATGTGGGTCTGCTGGAGGAGACTCTGGTTCCTCCTGAAAATCCCTGTCTGGTGCCTCAGTGCCTTTCCAAATCTCCTTCACCACAAACTTTGGGACAAGGCAGAAGCAGAGCAGTGATTCAGGCCTGGATTTGTCCTGAGCTCTGCCAAGTGCTGCCCACACAACTCTCCTTTTACTTCCAACCCAGGCAGGACTCGTGCACTGCAGATCCTCAGTGTAGGGGTGAAATTCTCTTTTTTCTGCTTCTTCTTTAATTGCACTGGGAGCATTTGTGTTAAATCCACCAATATTCAGCTACTAAATGTTGAGACAAACTTGCCATCCTGTTTTACCCCCTAGGAACATGAAAACTGTTCACTTGGACTTTGCCCAGCTGTTTAGTGGATTCAAAAATTCCCAAGCCATCCGAGACCTCAAGGACACCTCTGTGAGCACCTCCAGGGGAAGAAGCCAGGATCAGATTATTCCAGAATCGCTGAAGCGAGGGCAGAAACATCAAAAGCTTCTCCAGTCACTAAAGGAAATTACATCCCATTCCCTTTCAAGTCTCCCCAAGACCTTCATCCCCTCACATTCCCTTCTTCCTGCCAGCCCTTTGTTGGGATGGAACTCTCTCTTCCATCCTGCTGGAAAGCAGAGTTTATTAAGAGCATTAACTCAGGAGATGGAGGGGTCACACATCATTTTCACGTGCGTCATGCTGAGAGAATGAGCTGAGATCAACGCTTGGCCAGCAGCCACTTGTTTTTAAAACCAGTTGTTCACAGTTATTTCTCTTAATTATTTATTTTTTTGCGAGGCAGGGATGCAGTCCAAGAATGCCCAGCTTATTTTTATTCATAGAACATTTAAAACACCGAATTGTCCTCCTTTCATCTCCACAGAATTTAAAAGGCACCGACTTAAATTTAATGACACAACTTCTGTCTGATTTTAAGCAGCTCAGATGAGCACCTGGCAGGGAGATGTCCAAATCTTGCATAAATTCTTTCCCTGGAGGCCTCTTTCCTAACCTGGGGTGCCAACATGAGTTGAAATATTTGACTGAAGTGTCGCAAACAAGCAGCTGCCAAAAATTGTTATCAATTAGCACCATCCTACACTTAATAAAAGCCCAAACCCATCTGTTTGCAGCTCCCAATCTGTCTCAGAACGTCTGGAGATCCGGCAAAAATCTGAGGGGAAAGTTTGGCTTAAAAATGTTCAAAAAATCAGAACTTTTCAACAGAGAAATAGTTATTTACTAATGCTTATGTGATAAGAGTAATGGCAGTAAAATTCTCCTGTGGATTTAATTCCCCTGCAGATTTATGCAGATATGTTTACTCATTTATAAACTAACATAAATTATGAATATATAAATTACCTTGTCATGTTTATTGCTGGCACTGCCATGTATGAATATAAATTTATATCCAGATGATCCACTCCAGTTCTCTGTACTCTAGAACCCCGATTTTAACCCAGGAAAAGTTCAACTTCTCTAAAGCAGTTCTGCATTGACACTTGTAGCCTGAGCAATTTTGTCACTCCTTTATTACAGCTGACTGAGTCAGTGGGGTCCTTTTCTGACAGAGATTTTTGGATTATTATTGGACAGAGCTCACCTGGATCATTCACTGCGCTGCCTCCTCCACTGACTCACCTGAGCCTGAAGCAAACATTACTAACAGAGGTGACAGGGCAGCAGAGGCTCTGCTCAGTGTTTATTCTGTCAGTGATTCACTGAGCAGATTCTGGGGCAAATACCCAGAATTAAAGCACAACTTTGCCCCCAGCCCTGCTGACCTATTTTACCCCAAACATCCCGGGAATTCTCCCATTCCTTGACATTCCACTGGTTTTATTTCAGCTTTTACCAGCCAGACCATGAATAGATGGAATTAGGACCAGCCCAACCATTCTATAACTCAATGACAGCTTCTATCTCCCTATTTATTGATGTATTGATTGATTGGTGTTAATCATTTCCTTTTCCCCGTTTTCAGGGAAGCCGATCCACAGCAGCAGCCGATCCCTGTCCCGATGTTTGGGGCAGGGACCCAGCAGCAGGAACTCCCCTTGCCGTAACACTCCGTGCCTTGGGTGTTGTGCAACACCTTGAGCAAACACTTCCTCCTGCAGGAGCAGGAATAAAGCTGAGCCCGTCCCTGCCTCTCACTCCCAGCCCAGAGAGCTCCGGACAGGGCCACGCTGGGATCGCCACATCCCCACCCCAGGAACCCCAGAGCATGAAAATCCTCCTCATTTCTGCTCTTCTGCTGCATCTCCTCCAACAAGGTACTGCACTTTTTGTTTTAGTCCGTCACCAGTTTTGCTGTATGAAATTTTAATTATTAACTGGGAGATAATAGGGAGCAACAGCCTTTGGGAAATGGTGTTAGGGATATTTAGGATTTTCTGCTCAAAGCAATTCTCTGTAATTCTTTACTTAGGGCAACATTTACTTGTTTGAAAAGTGGCCATAAATTGCCTAAAGACACGCAACTGGTTGTGTGTGAGCCACTAAAGCAATACTTACCCTGAAAGTGAGAGGCCAATTTACCCAAACACACCAATTTATCAGCATTTTGGCCATAAAATAATGGATTTCTGTATGAATTCAATTACAATTACCTGATTTAAAGTATTGATCACCCTTTATTTATCTGCATGATACTTCAGGTTAAATTCAAGTGACTCCACCTGAGCAGATCCCACTTTTTTTCCCCAACAATTTCTATTAATTTCTGTCAACAGGGAATGGAATTTTTCAGGGCTTGGCCTGCACAAACATGTACAGGATTTATATCCATAATTAAACATAGAATTAGCATTCAGGCACAAATCTATAATTTGTTTTTTTGCACAGAATAACTGAAAATGTGCACATGATTAAGGTGTTACCTTTCTTACCTTGACAAAACCGCAATTTCATTGTCAATAAAATCCTCCCTAATGATTTTTTGTGCTGGTTGAAGCCCTTGGAAAAGCACACAATTATTTGTTCCTTATTACAAGTTGTTGTAGGAGGCCCAAGGAATTTCCTTCCTCCTTCAAGCTTGAGACAAAGCCTGAAGGCAGCAAAGACAATGCACTGATTAAGAAACTCCCTCGAAGAAAGGATTCATTCCAAACAAAACCAACCAGTTTTCCTCGAAATTCTGTCTGGATCAGACTGCAGGGAAGGGATGAGTTTAGTCCTGAACCTCCCTTTAAACCTTGCCTTAACTTGAACTCTCTGGGCTGGAATTGCACAAAGGGTGTGGAGAGATAAAACTGGGGATCTGTGTTCCAAGAGGCCTGAAATATTCCTGGGATTGCTGCACAAGGACACACCTGAGGCCTGTGCAGAGAAATCTGAAAAACAGCAGCATTTTTTTGGAAAATAAACATAATTAGTTGCTTAAAAAAAAACCATAAACCACCGTTGTGAGTGGCAGGAGTAAAGTTACACCTGGTAGCTGCTCCCAGCACGTGCTTGGTGCAACAGCTCAGCTGCCACAGGATCCCTGTGCACCATTAAATCAACAGCTTTATCAAGATACAACCAGGTTTGCTCTGCAATTACTTTTGGAAAGGGTTGAATCAAATAAATCAGTGATAAAAGAATGGATCAGTTTGTTTTACTGCCACAATTTGCACGAGGATGTGCTCTTCTGTTCCAGAGAGAAAATTACAGTAATTGGAGGCCTCTCTCCTGGAAAAACCTGGCCCTGGGGCAGGAATTACCGTGGGAGGTGCTCTGCTCCTTTGTTTTTGTGGGATTTCATTGGCTTTCTGGGCAGCTGAGGGGGGTTTTTTGTTGTTGTTGGTTTATTTTTCAAATACGGGCCCTCAAGGATTCACCAATTCAGATGAAATTCCCTTTTGTAGGACATTAAAGAGTTCAGGGGTATCCAGAAGCTGCTGTTGCCTTGGTGCAAACAAACCATCCTTTTCCTGACCCTGGTTTCCCTAAACCTGGCCCCAGCTGCCAGGATGGACTGCAGGGTGTACCCAGGGCAGGCCCCAAATTGACTTTGCTCTGCATTTGCTGAGCTTCAGAGCAGAAAACAAAAAGGAATTCTTATATCAGCCTTGCATTTCCTCACCCAGCTCTTTACAACCCCTCGACACTTTATGAGACCACTCAAAATGGTTTTAGGGAACCTCCTGGATTCCTTGCACTGTCAAGATTTTCCTGATTTCCTCCCTACCTCCCATTATTTTACCTGGCCATGTCCAAATGTCTCCCCCAACCTTCCGCTGTCCCTCCTTCAACCCAATTCAAGAGGTAAAAGTTGTAATTATTTATTACCACCCTCTCTTAGAGTTCTGCCACAGTTATTTCCGTGCCAGAGCCTTCCAAAGCAGGATTCTTGTTGCAAACCTGGCATTGTGTACATTTATTTGCTGGTGCAGAGGCAGTCTGGGCCTGTCTGTCACGTGCTGAGATTTGGAGATTGCTCATTCCACAAACCCAAATCCATCCATTCATGTCACTGGGAAATGCAGAGGGAAAGGCTGCCCTGGCATGGCTGGGCTGGCCTGCTGGGACTTGAACTGCTCAGAGCTGGGGGAAGAAACACAAAGAGAATTGCAAGAAATGTTTGGACACCTGGAAGTTGACAGGGAGGGCAACTCCTCCAAAAATGCACCAAAATGGTGTTGGATCAGGAGATGGGGGCAAAGCAGGGGAGCACGAGGTGCTGCAAGAACCCAAAGAATCACCTGGCCAGCCATGAAATTGGGTGTTTAATAAATTAAAATTGTGTTTTCATCAATCCCCAGGGAGCAGCAGAGAGAAGTTCTCTGGAGCTGAGCAATATGAAATCGTTTACCCGCAGAAACTGCACGCGGTGCACAGGAGAGCTGCAGGAACCAGCTCAGAGGTAGGAAAGGAGATCATTCCTTGGGTGATTCTGGGACATGGGGAAGGATTTCTGGAACTAAAACACCCTTGGGATTCAAGGGTAAGAGGATTTGGACAAACATTTGCCCTTCCAAAAGAAAGAAGTGGAGAAGCGAGGTGGTGTTCAGTGAGGAGGAGCTGAGGTGTCCTCAGAGAAGAGAATCCCTAAGGCCATCTCTGAACTTTTGTCTCTGCAAAGATGTGGGGATTGATACTACTCAGAGTTTTAATAACCTGTGGACACTTTAATTTGGGTTAAATGAAAGCAATAATTAAAAGCAGCCATGGTCTGTGCAGTTCCAGAAGGTGTTGTGGAAGTGTCTGAACCCAGCCATCCCCTCAAGCCCTCTCCCAAGCACGCAGGATTTGTGCTTATGGAGGCAGAAATGAATTTGCAAAGTCAAATTTGCTCCTCTAATTAAAACCCCTCAAACAGAGCGACCTCCTGCTTATCCTGCTCCTGGCAGAATCCTTGTTTTTGGTGAGAGGAGGAGGAAAAGAACACGGCTGGCATTCCAATAACACCACTGGTGAGGCCAGGAGCTGCAGCAGAGCATTTTCTGACACTTAAATCTGTTTACAGAGCAAATATGATGACATAGTGAAGTATGGGATCAAAGCCAATGGAGAGGAAGTGGTGCTGCAGCTCCAAAAAAATCGGTAGGTTCAGCTCAGCTCTGCCCTTATTCCTCACTGGGAGCCACTGCAGGGTGTTCCTGCCAAAAACCAGCAATCAGGGCCCTGTGAAACGGAAGGGGGTTGGGAAATGCAGCATTTCAATGGCAAGGAAAGAAAAGGGGAGAGAAGGAATCCTGTCACTGTTTGGGAATGTGGAAGAAGTGCTTGGGATGAGACATTGCCATGATGGAGGGACTTCACCTCCTGCTACCTCTGCTCCCCCATTTCCTTCCTGAATTGTTAAATCCTATGCATATTTGATATATTTATATTATTTCACAAGTTTTCTGTGACCATGAAGAATCTGTGGGTTATAGAACTGTGGCCTGGAGTGACAGGACAAGAGGGATGGTTTTTAAGTGAGTGAGAGAGGGTTTAATCTGGAGATTAGGAAGAAATTCCTCCCTGTGAGGGTGAGGAGGGGCTGGGATGGAATTCCCAGAGGAGCTGGGGCTGCCCTGGATCCCTGAAAATGTCCAAGGCCAGGCTGGAGCAATTTGGGACAATGGAAGGTTCCCTGCCCATAGAAGTGGAAGAGCTTTCAGGTGCCTTCCCACTCAAACCATTCCATGATTTTGGGAGAGACTCAATGATCTCGGAGGTGTTTTCCAACCTTAATCATTCTGTGGCTCTATATTTATATATCCCTATATTATAGACAGATATAGAGATAGATAAATTATAGATAGGTAGATATATAGGTAGATAGATAGATAGATAGATAGATAGATAGATAGATAGATAGATAGATGATAGACAGATAGACAGATAAATAGATAAACTGATACAGATATTTACCTTAGCACTACTTCTCTTGAACTTGGGGTTACCAAATATAACCTGGCATTGACCAAATCTTCCTGGAAATTGAAAGTCTGGCTCCAGCAGAACATTAACACTCACTCCAACAAGTCTGGGTTAATGGGTGCTTTTCCAGAGGCTGTGCAAATACAGTAGTGCCATAATCAGTTCATGTTAAAGATAGTCTATAATTAACTGCTTGCCCCTGTTTTAATCTAATCCAAATATTTGGAGCGGGGGGAGGGAAATGTGTTGTACTAAATTCTGCTCTTTGAAGAGAAATGGAATTGTGGCAGTGGAAGCGAGTTGCCCAAACAGGAGTCACTGCAGATGTGCTGCTTTTAGGAAGATGTAAAAAGGGCCAAAAAAAAAAAAATCAATATGTAATTATACATTTGTATCCAGATCTGCCAGGAGATGAGTTCATCCCAATGCAATCAGCACACTTTAATTGCTTTCTTCTTTTAGGAAAGTCTTTTTGTTTGAGTAAGGATTATGAGCAAGCAGAATTCCCCTCCCTGCAGCTTTTGCTTCCCGAGTTTCTCCGATACTAAGAATAACCTGAGTAATTGTTTGAATTCCCCACATACTCGCTGTGCTGTGTCATCACCTCATTTCTACATGGCAACAATTTATTTCCTTGGAATAATGACTGCTCGGCTCTTGCAGGGATCTCCTGGCTGGGGATTATTCTGAAACTCTTTATTCTGCTGACGGCCAACAAATAACGACAACTCCTCACATCAAGGTAATACAGGAAGGGTTTCTCCCTTTTGCTTCCAGTCTGGAGGGCCACATGAGATTCATGGATCTGTGAAATAATGGGAGACGTGAGACAGAAGGGAAAGGTTTGAAATCCAGGTTTGAAGCCATTTAGGGTGAAGGACAGGGAAGTTGGGGTTGGTCACTGGTGCCTGTTGGGAATCAGCTCCACGGTTTGGCTTCCAAGAAGGCACCGCCTCCGTGGCTGCTGAACCATGGCTGGGCCGAATTCCAGCCTTTGATGGGAGCCAGGGCCATCCCAAAGCTTTCAAGCTCCCGACCCTGCCGAGCACACTCTGCTCCACCTGCCCGGCCCCGTGACTCCATTTCCGCCCTGATCCCAGGCAGATCCCAGCCTGATAAGGCCCCATTTCCTCCTGGCTCACGTTTCCAGCCATGCTCTGAGAGCCCAGCTGCCTCCTCTGAGCCCTGACAAATCCCTTCTGCACCTGCACACTAACGGGGCTTGCTGCTGAAGGGATTTTTTAATTCTCTGCACACTGATCCTCCCCAAAGCTCCCACCGGAAGTTCTCCTCCAAGCTCATGAGATGGGTTTTAACAACACAATCTGGAATTCAAAGCCAAATTTTCTCTGCTAGGTGCAACTAGGAGGGTTCTGAATGAAATAAATGTGCATAAATAACTCTGGGTTGATTATTTTGGGTTATTTTTTTCTGAGTGCTCCAATTATTTCCACTCCCTGAATGAATGCAGTAAAAAACCTGGATAAAGACAAATTCGAAGAGCCCTACGTGGGCTGAACAGGGAATTCCTACCCTGGGGATATTGGATTGTGAGCAGGAGTTTTTCCTCTTGTATCCCCAAAGGATGGAGAAAAATCCTCCTCTTTTCCCCAGTAATTTTCCCTTTGAAGATGTCTTTTTCCTGTAACAAAGTTGGCATTTTGTGGTGGAAGACAAATAAATGTTAAAGTTAAACCAAAATCCACACAGGGAAACAAAAGGCACAGGGAATGAAGGCTTGGATACAGATTCTTAAGAATTCCATTCAGGAAAACGCTGGGGTAAAATTCTCCACAAGCCCTCAGTGACTTTGAAGTCTCTTTGAACACAGGAACAGAAACCATAAATCCTTAAGCCAATTAAGTCCCAAAACAGTTTCTCCTACCCATGTTTAATATAATACCTGTATTTTAATCTCACTGAAATGAATGCATTTAATTGATGGGTAATTAAAAATCCTTTCCTTGAAATTTGGGCTCTAGGAAATAATTTGGTGTGGATTTTAACTGAGTAGAGCCCAGCAGTGTGTGCTTAATTTGGAGCAGGGAGTGAGAATATTCTTATTTTTCTGTGCTGTGCTTTGACCAGAGCCCAGAATTGTTGGTTTTTGTCACAAATTGTGTGTTGAAGGATAAAAATAATGTGTCCACAGCCAACATGGAAATGGTCATGAACTTTTAAAATTCCTTTTAAGCATCTCCTAATGAGAGACTTCTTCAAGTGGTGCACTTCATTGTAATTTGTAGGTAGTTTAATTTGTTTTCTGAAATCTCTGGCGGAGCCCATGGACACCCCAAGCTGACTCTGAGGATTTTTCCCCACCAGGATCACTGTTACTATGGAGGCCACGTGGAGGGCGATGCTGAGTCTGTGGCGAGCATCAGCACCTGCACAGGGCTCAGGTGAGAGGGGCTGGGTCCCAGGAGCACAATGTGCAATTTCTGGGGTAAATGTTCCCATAGGAGAGGATCAGCATGGAAAGAAGTCATGTGAGCTTTTATTCAGGCTTGGGAAACTTGTTTCCCAAAGAAAAACAGAGGGAGAAGGGAGAAAAATAATTACTCTTAGATCCTTACAATGTTTCAGCTTTTCACCTCAAATCAGGGTGAAAACATCTTTGAATTTCCCATTGGAATGAAATCCACTCTTCAACCAGTTCTGTCAGCACAACCCCCCCAAAATTTAAATCAAATTAATAAAAATTGATAAAATTAATAAATTAATTTGATAAAATTAATAAATCAAATTAATTCCAAACCCAGCTTCTCTTTGACTGAGAGCACCCAAATCTTCCATAATTAATTTCTGTTTCTAAAGTGTTGTGTGCTGCCTCAGGCTGCTGGAATATTCCAAAGGTCACTATGCTTGGGCTAAATGCTCCCTTGATCCAAAACCTCACATTCCAACCCATTTTTTAGTGGCTATTTTGAGACCCGTGGCCAGAAGTTCCTCATTGAGCCCCTGGGAGCCTCGGACAGGGATGAGCACGTGGTTTATAAATACGAGGCTCTGAAACAAGAGCCCATCAAAACCTGTGGGCTGGTCAACAACTCCTGGGAGCAGGACTCCAGTGACCCCATCAAGGCCATCTTCAGGTCCAGCAACAGCCCAGAGGTAAGGACATGGCTGTCCCACCACAAAAAGGGGATTTGTGGCCATTGGAAAACTCTAAACAGCCCAAATCCCACTTGGTCTGGTGGCACCTTCACAAAGGAGCTGTTTAAACACAATTAAAAATGGGGTTTTTTAAGCAACTAATTATGCTTATTTTCCAAAAAAGTCTGCTACTTTTCAGATCTCTCTGCACAGGCCTCAAGTGTGTCCTTGTGCACACTTGACACACCCAGGAATATTTCAGGCCTCTTGGAACAGAGATCCCCAATTTTATCTCTCCACACCCTTTGTGGAGAGATAAACAAGGGAAGTGGGATTAGATCTTAAAAACCTGAACAAAATGTTCCAGATCTGAGATTTCAGAGTCACCAGCTGAGTTAAGCCTTCCTGCCTTTATTAACAGGTGCCCAGTGCACCTTTAACACCTAAACACCCATTATTATCTATTTTACCTTCTATACCTGAATAAAAATTTAAATATCCAACCTACTTCTTATCATTTAAACCCAAACCAGTCCCTTCTGAATGACCTGGCCAAAGAAATCCCCTCAATAATTAACAAACAGCTTTGAAACTGCCAAGGTTGGGATAGGAAAAGCTCTTAAAAGTAATTTTAGATCCCTGATTCCTTTAGATGAAAGCCTACCTGAAATCAAAGAAGTACCTGGAGCTCTATGTCGTTGCAGACAACGCTTTGGTGAGTTTTGGAATTATTATTTCATGTTTGATCAGCCCCACAGGAGCTTCCCAAGGTATCCCAACTCGTATTCCTGGGGTCCAACATGAGTTACGAGGTTACTCTGAGCCTGGCTGGGAAATGGGATTTCTAAAGGGGATTCCATTTGAAATTCCCACCTGGAGGTGACTGGA